TATCAGCGCCTCGTAGACAACGCGCTATATGGATTTTTGAAGATCTCACGATCCGGCAACGCTGGACCCACAACGGATGTGTTCCAGACCGGGATCGCGGACGATCCTGACCGAGAGTCGGTACTGGGTCGGAGATCATACATCATCATACATCGACGACATCATGATCGCAGCGGAATCGTGGGACCAAATGTACCGAAGAGTGGAGGATCTGTTGGAGGCTTGTGATAAGTGGAATTTGTCGATCAGTGTAGCAAAGAGCTTTTGGGGGATGGATAAGGTGAGATATCTGGGACATCGAGTGTCGATCAGAGGCCTGGAGGCGAGTCCGAAAGACCTACAATCGTTGACCGATCTGCCGTTCCCCGGATCCCTACGGTCTATGCAGTCGTTCCTGGGCAGTCTAAATTACTACAGCCGATTCATCGAAGACTATGCGATCTATGCCTCGGTCCTCTACGAATTACGCGAAGTCGAGTTTGCAGAACTGGGGAAACGGGCAGATCTGAGGGAGATCCTAGACCAGAATGATCCGATACCCCGAGATCATGACCCAACGGAGTCGAAGTTGGCAGGATCGATAGACGAGAGGTGGGTCAGGGCGCATAGAGCCTTCACCGCCCTGTCAGGATCCAACGGAACTGAAGTTGACAGGGTCAGTGGACGAGAGGTGGATCAGGGCACCTAGGGCCTTCATCGCCCTGAAAACCAAGATCGCGACGACCCCAGTCCTCCGCCATTTCGACGAGACGAGAACGCCGGTGGTTATCGTATATGCCAGCGATTGGGCGATATCCGCCTCGTTGACGCAAGAACATGACGGGATCTACCACCCGGTCGCGTTCGCCAGTCGCACCTTGAAGACGAATGAGCTGAATTACAACGTGACGGAGAAGGAGGTGTTGGCGTTGTTGAGGATCTTAGACCTCTACTACAATTTGCTAGTAGGACGCGAGATCCGGGTCCTGACGAGGCATTCTACGTTAGCCTGGCTGTTCAAGTCGACGGGATTACAGGGTCGCCTGGGGCAATGGTCTGCCCTCCTGGCCCCATGGACACTCGAGATCACGAAGTGTACGAAGGGTGAGGACGAAATACTGGGGGCGATCGCCGCCAGTATCACGCCCAGGGCGAAGATCGACGATGCTCTGACCGAGATCGCTCCCCGGAAAGAGCCCAAACGCCGGATCCAAACACCGATACCCACCGTAGATCGAGATGAAGTATTATGGGTGATCAGCTTTGACGGATCCGCCCGAGTCAAGCGCGGTGGGGGCGCGTTCAGCGCGATTCTGTGGAGTCTACCCGGATGGGGGGTAGTCAAGGCCAGATCTGGTTATCTCGAGAACCTCACGGTGAATGAAGCCGAGTATAACGGTTTGATCTTGGGCCTCGACTTGCTAGAGGGTTTAGATCGCCGACGCCTGGTGATCTGCGGGGACTCTAACCTGGTGATCAGGCAAGTACGGGGTGAGATTGATTGCAAGGCGCCAGGATTGACGCTACTGAAGCGGAAGGCCCTCGATCTTTTGAGGAAATGGAATGATCATGAGTTGGTTCACGTCAAGAGGGATTGGAACGGAAGCGCCGACAGTCTGGCCAGCGCAGCCTTGCAACGACAAAAGGGGATCGAGGTCCCGGAGGGCCCCGGGTACCAGGATCTGGTCACCCTGAACCGATTAGACGAGATCTTGATCCCCAAGACGGAGAATCCGGTGGCTCGAGTGGCCGCGGTGACTACTCGAGCCGCTCGGGCAAGATCACCTGCATACGTGTTGGAGGAGGGGCTGATCCGCGAAATCCGAGTCGATCGGATCAGGCGAGCCCAAGAGGAAGAAGTCTGGATCGCCGGCATGAAGAAATATCTGAGTGGCTCGATCGCGGAACTCACCCAAGCGGAAGCAAGATCGTATGGCAAAATCGCGGCGCGGCGGACTACGAGGTGGACGAGCAGGATCTACTCTTTTACTGTCCCCCGATGTCGAGATCGGGAGACGATCGCGACCGATTGATGAGATTGGTAGTCCCCGAAACGCTCCAGTCGGACGTCTTACACCATTATCATGCCACGTTGGAAGGAGGACACCAAGGAGTGGGAAGGACGTATCAGAGGATCAGGGATCACTTCCACTGGAGGGGATTATACCGCAGCGTCCAGAGATATGTAGGAGAATGTGTGGATTGCGAGACAGGGAAAGGAAAACCGACGATCCGAGGTGAATCACCCGGGAACTTGCAGGCGACGTACCCGTTCCAGATTATCGCGATGGATCACATACCGTCGCTGCCCAGGTCCCACAAAGGTAACACGGAATTACTGATCTGGGTCGATCTGTTATGTGATCGCGAAAGCCAGCTCGTCTCGATCGGCCCAGACGGTTGCGGAATCGTACGAAGAGTGTGTATTTCGGCGATTTGGTGATAGTGAGATGATCCGGCATGATCGAGAACCAGGCTTCATGTCTGACTTCTTCCGGGCGTTTAACAAGATTTTGGGGCAGCGGCAGCGGGCGACGATGGCGTATCGTCCACAGGCTAACGGAACTGCTGAGAGAATGGTGCAGACCGCGACCAGAGCGCTCAAGATGTACGTCCGCGACCTGGATCAGAGGGATTGGGACGAATATGCAGAGCGCCTCACCTTCGCGATCAACACGGCTCATGACCGGATCCGAGGAGAT